AGAAAGACAAATAAACTGATCCCATTCACAACTGCACCAAGAAAAATTTTGTAAGACACTGGTATCTACATCAAGTTTTATAAAGAACTAGCTGGGTATGACATCTAGGCCTCACCAGAACTCAAAGACTAGAATAATAATGGGGAATTGTCTTTTTATCTTGTATGAACCTATTTCTCTTAAATTAGTAAAAGTTAAAAGAAATAAAAATGGTTTCTTTTAACTTTTTTTTTTTGAGAGAGAGGGAGAGCAAGCGAGCGGGGGAGGGGCAGAGAGAGAGGAAGAGAATCCCAAGCTGACTCTGTACTGTCACTGTGGAGCCCAATGTGGGGCTCGACACCACAAACTGTGAGATCATGACCTGAACTGAAATCAAGAGTCAGATGCTTAACTGGGCCACCCAGCCACCCCAAAGCAGTTTCTATGTAAGCCACTGAAGGGTCATGCCTTTAAAAAAATTTAGCCCTCTTTAGCCCTTAACACAGTGTAATAAAGAGTTACTTAATTGATGTTTTTGTGAATAAATAACTAAACAAACAATTATATATTCTAACATTCGTAGTTTCTAAAATTCATATGCTCTGTTTCTTACTTGATTCACACTGATTTTAATTACCTTGTACTTTTTTTTTAAATAATTAAGATAAAATAAACTTTTTTTTTAAACTTCAAAAAAACCCAGTACGTAGTTTATATATTGACCTTAGGGTCCTATTGGCAAAAGGCTTGATATTAAACCATTCAAAATATAAAGAGTATAGCTATTTCTCTGCACTCTACGGAAAGATCCTTAAATTGAAAATGAAATTTTAACTTTGAAAAGTATAGGCAGAAATAACTGTTAAAATCTACCTTCAAATATGTAAAACTTATTTTATAGATGTTGGCAACCACCAGAATAAAGAAGTGAAAAAAAAAGAACATGGAGACATGCTCTTAAGCTACACACAAAAGAACTCAAGAGAGATATATGGAAAAGCTCTGCACAATGGCTGTCAAGCATGAAGTAAGTTAACAGGGCAAATTCTTTCCTTGTGTTCTAACTGTTCCATCTTTGGCCAATGAAAGCCCCATCAATTGAGTTCCTGCATCCTTTTGATAAAATCTTAGTAATCTTGTATGGCTTCATTGCTTTTTAGGCAAGATGTCCTAGGGCCATCTTATACATTTCTTGCCCCAGATCTAGAATCACTGTTTTCCATGGAACTCTGGTTGCTTTAAGGGGGAAATGGTATTTGGAGATTACAACCTGGACGCTAGGAATGTTCACTGCTATTTGTTACTGTTTTAGGCATTTCCAGAGGTGAGAGCTAGGAAATATGTGTTGTTTTAGAAAAAAATAAATCATGGGATGCCTGCGTGGTTCAGTGGGTTAAGCATCCCACTTTGGCTCAGGTCATGATCTCACAGTGTATGAGTTTGAGCCCACATCCAGCTCTGTGCTGACGACTCAGAACCTGGAGCCTGCTTTGGATTCTGTGTCTCCCTCTCTCTCTGTCCCTCCCCTGCTGACACTCTGTCTCTCTCTCTCTCTCTCTCTCTCTCTCAAAAATAAACATTAAAAAAAATGAAAAAAAAATCATGACTTCAAACTGTATTTCCAAATTAAGTTAAAAATTGTAAGATTTTTATTTAAAACATGTTTTTCTTTCTTCTTGTTTAAAACTTTGGTTCCCATGAGAGTAACATAATTACCAAATAACAATTCCATATAATAACAATAAGATTGTTGGATGCAGTATAAAATTTTCTGTACATCCTTTTTTGTTCTTAGCATACATCCCAGGAGGACTATTCAGTAAAAATCCTGTTTTGAAGTCATTTAAGATAATTATTGTCCATGTGTTTCCACTACCAATCAAAATAGAGTTAGATTTTTTCCTTCAGTTTGTTAGAGATCGCTTTATTATTGTATTTTATTTTTGTTCTTAAATATATTTAAAATATGCACATCATTCCAAAGTCAAAGCTATAAACAAGACTTATTCAGGAACATCTAACTTCTATCCCATTTGCCTCCCACTGGCCCCTTCCTACTCCTTAAAGTCACTAGTTTTTAGTTTTTCAGTTTATTCTTCCATTATTTCTATACGTTTTCCAATACAAAAAAGATATATTATACATATCTGTACTTTGTCTTTTCCACTGAAAAATGTGTTTTGGAGGTGACTCTACTATAATGCACAAAGGGCTTGCTCATTCTTTTTTAAAGCTGCATCATATTCCAAGGTTGCAAGGATATTTCAGTTGTTTCCAGTTTTTGCTATTAAGAATAATGCCACAATAAACAGTCTTACATACACATCATTTCATATGCAGTTTATCTTTGGAACAGATTCCTAGATATGTGGTTTCCTGGTCACATTGAAATGCATATATAGTTTTGCTAAATACTACCCAATTCCCTTCTATATGGATTGTACCACTTATCATTCCCACCAACAAAATATGCCTGTTTCCCCAAAGCCTAATCAAATGAGCATCTTGTCACTCTGTGATTGTTTGAGTATGGCTTAGATTTGATCTCCCCAATAAAGAGCTTTCCAGATCTCTGTGACATATGGTCCATTACGCTGTTGCCAAGTCATATACAATATGCTCTGGATCGATTTCAAATTGTTCTTCAATAAAAATCTATTTTTTTAGTATCAAATTAATCTACCAGAACATAAATACTACAGGGCATTCTATGTGGGATTTTGCCCTAAAGAAGGAAGTTGCAGGTTTTTATCTCTTTGTCTTCTTCCTGTGATAAAATGAAACGATTCTATCATTAGGATTCAACTAAGGGCTCTCCAGAACTCCAGCCTGAGTTCAAGTCTCCATTCAGCAACACATAGTTGGATTCCTCAGATGTCCTTCTGCCACTTCAAATTAATTAATTCTCTCATTCACCCAGTCCTGACACCTCAATTATCTCTCATTCTCTTCTCTAGATCTCCTTTACTTAAGCAATCACCAAGATTTCTTACAGATCTTTCCTTAAAAGAATTCCTACATATGAACTCATTTGTTAGCCCATTTCCACCCTAGTCCTGGTTCTAATTATTTAACGTGAGGACTACTGGAATATTCGCTTACCCAGTTTCCCATTCTCCATCCTGTCTCTTCTCTCTGCTGTGCCTACTGTATATTACACACAGTTGGTTCCACGTTGTATTTCATATTTACCTCACCCAAATAACTCTAAGACCCACATGTTGCCCATGATGATGGTTTTTAACCTGTGCTCCACAGATATACTTTACTGCTGTACCAACAAAGCAGCCTCATTTTTATTTGTTCTACACATAACATTTTCTGTGGAAGATTTCCATGGGACATAAGTGTTCTGCAGCTAAAAGCAAAATTAGTATAAAGGCACTGGCCTATAGAATCAATTCTACAGAAAGTACTATCTGGTTTTGTTGTGGTGACTCAATCTTCTCTTGCTTTCTCTCCTTTTCCTTTTTATTTGCTTCTCTTTATTAATGAATTCATGTATTTAAGTAATATTTACTAAAAACCTAAGATCTACCAGGCACTATAAATCAATAAAAAGACAAAGTACCAATGTTCATAAAATCTACAGCTAGACAAGACACACTGGCAATGACAATAAAGTGTGCTAAATTCTCCCAAGAGAAAAAAATTCTACCTACGATAGGGAAAGTGAGCAGCCTCTCCAATCCTAAGGTTCATAAAGTATAAAATAATTAAGAGCCTCCAGTTGAGAGGGAGAAACAGCCACAGGGAAAAACCTAAGTTTAATTAAAGCAAAAGTATATAAGAAATATGAAAAAGATGGAAGATAAAAAGAAGTTTGTTAATCATGGACAGAATTCCACTGAGCACAGTGAAAAGGTTTGAGAGGGCAAGAAATGATATAAGGCTAAGTTGCAGACAGGAGGCACAGTTAGGATATCCTAAGTGACGTGAGAGCTTATATTTTGAGTAGTGAGCCAAGAAAGCACACATGTAAGGAATCAAAGGTGTAATAGGTTACAAGGTTATAAGTGAATTAGTTACAGAGGTAAGATAGATGAGGATGGACTGCACTCTAGCTTGTCAGGATTCACCTGTGACACAGATGGCTTTTCTAATCTGCGTAAGGAGATTATCTGGCAGATAAAGAACCTTCCTTCTGTCTCTCTGTATGTAGCCATTTGTGACTGGATTGATATTATGGATTCCAGTGAAAAAAGTTCCAGGCTTGAGGCTTGAGACATATAGCTCCAGACTCCTGAGATCTATGTGTCATTAAGCTCCCTAAGAGTAAATAATAGGACATTATCTTAGTATACCATTCAGAGGCCTGCAAGGTGCTGTGTACAGACTATATATTTAATAAATGTTTCTGGATGTAACAAAGAATGTCCTTCATGGTTAGAAAAGTACACAAATTATCCTTAATGACCAATAAATTTACCTGAAGCCAGACTGCTTGAATTAACTTTTAAATGAGACACTTAATACCTGTGACTCTGGGCAAATTAATTGATCTAAATGTACCTGGGTTTCCTTATCTATAGAAGAGTGATGATGAGAATAAGAACACCTGCCTCAAAGGATTTTTGTGACCACTGAATCAATTAAAGCATGTTAAGTGTTTAAAACAAGGCCTGGTACACAGAGAGCACCTTCCTGAGCTATTATTTTCATAGAACATGAGATCAAATAGCTTTGTGAAGACTTGTACTACTATATAGCACAACAAACACATTAACTACTTCTTCAAACTTCAACCATCACTTACGGCAGGTCTGTAAAGTCATTGCTTACCTGGGTCAAAGTTATCACCAAATATTCTCTTGGCAGGAATCTTCAGGGCCATAGCAGGAAATTGTTTCTTTAACTAGAATTTTAAAAAATAACATTATATGAACTTAATTTTCTAAGTCTTCTAGTTATACACGTACCAAAACAAATTACAATCTGATTTTCAAGAAATTCCATCAATAAGACAAACTTTTAAAGTATATAATGATCAAATATACAATATTAAATTATACCAATAAAATACCATTAGTCTGACTAATCATCCTATTTTGTCCCAAGAGAACATTTAGTATCTTTGTGACCCTGGATAAGTTACTTAACATTTCTGTGCTTCAGTTTTGTCTGTAAAATGGAGATGATTTTAGCACTTACCTTACACATCTGTTGAGAGCCTTAAAGGAAATCATTTAGGTTAAGTGCTTAGACAAAAACCTGGAGTATAAGCTTTGAATACATGTTACTCACTGTTTATTGCCTCAAGAGAAGTTGTGACCTTTGTGTTCTTTCTATATGAACATGCTACTGACAATTGTTTTCTAAAAAACCTGATGAATTTTGCTTTCAATTATCTTCTGCTCTAGCCTTCCCCTTATTCATATTTTAATACATTTGTTTATCAGATTTGCTTATCCCCAAAGAACTTGGCCCTGGAGACATTAAATGCGGGGCAGTAAAGTCATAAATGTGGATTAACACTCATTTTTAAGTTTGACGTCAAACCCCCCCCCCCACACACACACATAAACTACATCCCTAACTACCAACTGTCAGGAAATACAAAGAATAGAAGAATGTATTAATCACTCTACACCATGAGTATGCTGTCAGCACAATCCAGACTGAAAAATCCATAGACAATTGACCCTGCTTTTTCAGTGAAAAATCATAAAGGAAAGAAAAGAGAGGCGGACAGGGAAACTTAGTCACCAAAAGACACTTTATAGATTTGTCAACCAGTCATATAAGCACTGACTGAATATTTGATATTAAGATGTTATTGTTAATTATATTCAGATGTGATAATAGTACTCTATTTTTTAAAGATCTTTTCAGAGATGTATACAAAAATATTTACAGATGAAATGATACAAAGTCTTAAATTTGCTTCAAAATTACAGAGGACAGGCTAGGGACAGAGATAAAACCAGAATGGCCATGTATCTGTAACTGCTGTAGCTGGATGGTACGTTATTTTCTGTGTTTGTAGTACTATTCTACTTCTGTATGTGTTCAACAATTTCTACAACAAAAATTTTAAATGCAAACTACACTCATAAAAATACATTTATATGATCAAAATGTTTGCAAATTGGGTATTTTACTGTTTGTTTTTTCTTTTATTCTAAAAAGAGCACAAGGAAAGAATCTGTGTTTTCAAACTTAGGGTAATCCAGGCCAGGTTTAACCTCACTTCCGTGGTTTCAAAGAACACAACTGGTACCATTCCCCTGTTCTTTGCTTTGCCTGTCACCACAGGAGGCAGAATTAGAAGAGTTACAGAAAAACAGAGAGACAGAGAAAATGGGGGAAATAAGAAAAAAAGAAAAAAGGAAGAGAAATGCAGGAAAAATGAGGGGGAAGGATAAAAACTCAACTATATATTAAGGAAAATTTTCTGCAAAAAGCTTAAGATGGGGTGTATGATGGAAAAAGAATGAAAGTGATCATGGCGGGGGGGGGGGGGGGGGGGGGGGAAGGTGCCCCAAACACACTGTCCTACTTTACCTTTATACTGAAAGATACTCAAATATTAACACTCTACTTAATTAATCTCTGGCTACTTAAATCATGAAACCATCATGACATTAGGATGGCTTTTTACTCATGCAGATCTCCACACTGCTGAGCTGTTAGGTGACATCCCTGACATTCCTCCTTCTTATGAATAGTTCTACAGAAGCAAACACATTTAGAAGCTAATTCTGGCCCATATAATCTTTTAATCAAAATACAGAAAGAAATCTCAGATTTTCAGTTATTAGTAGTTCACTAAACAAAATTTGACCTTATTTCTCTAAGAAGTTTATATAAACCATCTCTGTGTGTATGTGTGTGTGTGTTATGTTACCATCATAATAGCTACGGTCAAATCTGTACCATCCTCAAAAAATGCTGATCATGTATATAATGGTATCCAAGAATTTCAACTAGAACTGGCAATTCAACCTCACCCAGCCTCCAATATAAACTTTTTTTTTTTTTTTAAATCACTCAACATTGCAGAAAAGATCTTCATGTAGAAACTCTTTTTGGCTATTATTTTGTCTCTAAAGTAAAAAACGCTGTCTCAATATCCTTTGATTAAGCACTTTAAAAATATATATACAAAGTTCAGTTACGTATGTATTATAGAAAAATTAAAGAAAAAAGCACAATAAAAACACTACAGTTATCTCTGAGTAGCAATATGTTTTAGGTGATTAAAAAAATTTTTTTTAGAGGGAGAAAGACAGAACGTGAGTGGG